ATTTACAACTGTCAAAAGATTTTAAAAGGAGAGATCACTGCACCTCAAACACTTCTTGGATTCCTTAATAATTGCTTAGAAAGCCTCAATGTGTATATCACTGATTAAAGAGTTTTAATTTTTAAAAACCTCACCCTGCATGGCAGCCCCCCTTTATCATTTGGATGGCCATGCCCTGGACTTTTTTCAGCTCCATTAATCTTTCTCCATGTGGGGCACATCTGCAAGTCTAGAAATGGCACTTTTCCAACAAGGGAAAATAACATTTCATTTTCAGTCCCCGTATTCCCCCTGCTGCAGACGGACCGCATCTTCAGGGACCGTATGCAATGACCCTCAGACCTACGAGGTCCTTTACCTACATCACCGCCCACTCAGTCAAACTGGTCCCTTCTCCCTAAACGGCTTACATGCGCCACTGCAGTCTGTCTAAATATCTCAGAAAATGATAGCTCGCGGGGAAGAAGGGAATTTCTCTTGTCCACTGATAAATAGTGTTAAATGAGCGAATGAATGAACTCGGTTTTCCATTTCTTCTTGCTCAACAGAAAAAGAAACATGTTTCTTAAAGGGTTTCATAGGGGAATGTCCACCCCTGGAAAAGTTTAAACACATACCTTCTGCTAGGAATAAATATTTCCGCACTGGGGAGGAAGCAGAGCCAAATGAGCTCTAAAGCTCCTATCAACTCCGAGGCTCTGGAACTAGGCGAGCTCCACGCCTTAAGGAGAGTGGCCAGCCGCACAAAGTCTCATTCCCAGGTAGAGTCAATTACCATGCTCTGTTTAAAATAAAAATAAAAGCTGCCCTGGGACTTGGATGCAAAAATACTAACTCATCCAAAATGTGGACATGTTCCTGGGAGAGAAACGCTCTTGCTAATCATCAGTTACACTCTGGAAACCACAGATGTGCTTCAGGGTCTTCTCACAGCCAAGCCCAAAACCACCCGTGGGAAATGGAGAAACTAAGGGGTAAGATCAAGACGCAAATAAAGCCGAAACCAGTTTGGCTCAGTGGATAGAGCATCGACCCTGCTTAATGAAAGGTCCCAGGTTCGATTCCAGTCAAGGGCATGTACCTTGGTTGCCGGCACATCCTCAGTAAGGGGTGTGCAGGAAGCAGCTGATTGATATCTCTCTCTCATCGATGTTTCTAACTCTCTGTCCCTCTACCTTCCTCTCTGTAAAAAAAAAAAAAAAAAAAAAAAAAAAAAAAAAAAAGCAAATAAAGAGTGTCACACTACACTGGAGCTTTCATTTTCTTAGCCAACAACAAATCCACTTAAGAAACATCTGAATTTAGCCTTGAGGTTTAAATGGTTACAACTAGATATAAAGTAATCCCTCCCCCTTATCTGGTGAGGTTATGCCTGAAATCACAAATAGTACACACATACCTGTGATAAAGTTTAATTTCTAAATTAGGCATAGTAAGAGAGTGACAATAACTAACAATAACAAAGTAGAACAATTATAATAGTATACTGTAATAAAAGTTATGTAAGATGATTTCTCCGCATGAATTTCTTTTTCCTTCTTCACAATTTCATGGGTAGAAGATCTGTTCTTGCAGTAGATTTTAGCAACCTCAGCATAAAATTGTTTCTCTTTTCCATACTGAAAACTTTCATTCTTTCACTTAAAGCAGGGGTGGGGAACGTCCAGCCCACCCACCTGAGAAAGCCTGAGAAATCATTTGGCCTGGCCCTGGCAAGGCATTAGGGGTGAGTTAATTAAATGTTTGGCCAAACATAGCAGGGTAATTTTTAGTTGACAATTTTGTATGGCCTTAGAATGATGTTATAAAAATCCAAATGGCCCGTGGCAGTAAAAAGGGTCCCATCCCTGACTTGGAATCACTTCTCTGATTTAAAGGAATCACTTTACAGCTTCTCTTTGCATATCTGAATGCTTAGGGGCCATTATTGGGTAAAATAAGGGTTCCTTGAACAGATGCACTGTGGTACCACAGCCTGATAACTCAGATTGTAACTAAGTGACTAAGGGGAGGGAGGCATATGGCATACAGCATGGATAAACGGGACAAAGGAGGACAAAGGGATGATTCACATCCCTGGGCGGGACTGAGCAAATGGCCCATCATCAAGCTATTCAGAACGGCGGGCCAATTTGAAACTTATGAATTGCTTGTTTCTGGAATTTTCCACTTAATATTTTTGGACCAAGGTTGAAACTTCTAAAAATGAAACTGTAGATAAGGGGAGGAATACTGTAATCCCTTCGTAAGATAAATTATTACATTTGTCATTTAAGGATTTTTGCCCAGTAAAAGATCATATTACCAGAGATATCACACTAACATGGTCAAATTCAAGAATGTCTAAAATTGAAGGCAAATTATTCTGAATGAACTTTCCTTCGATCTGGACGAGGGAGGCAATTTTCAGGGAACGGATATATGCTCATGTTTTCCTAACAACTTTTGGTGGAAGAACAAATTCTAAAGAAATAACTGGAGAAGCTCCATTCACACACAGATCCACTTCCCGAGGGACTATGTTCTCTCCACACTCTTTCTTTTGTTCTCATCATCATAGACTAGATAAGGCACCAGAAGGCATAGAGAATTCTAACAAGGATGCAATGCAGATGTCTTGGAGAATCTTCATGTACTCAGGCTGTTTAGAAGACAAAAGGCAGACACTACACTTAAGACATTTACAGGGTGAACAACAACGTGAAGCAGTTCGATTCCTTGGAAACACACGAAAAGACTTCAACTCTGTAGTCAATTCCTGATCACCCATATACCACAGCTCAGGCAAAGAGAGACGTCTTGTTTTTAAACGTAATGTAATCTTAATTCCAGGGACAAAAGAGAATGTGCAGAGAAAGCAGTTCCCTCCTCCGTGCGCGCGCGCACGCACACACACACACACACACACACACACTTGTAAAAATCTCTTATTATTTGCATGAGCGAGGCCCTTCCACAAAAATTCTGTGGGATTAAGCTCACATCTGGTTGACAGACCTGGTGTTGGATCTGATTATGGCCACACAACTAAATCTTAAATCCACATACTGTTCCTATTGAACTGGCATGTATGAACTAACTAATTTATAGACAATGTGCAGCAAATTATTTCTTCCACCTCCCCATCCCTCAAGAATGCACCAGCCATAAGGTATTCAGAAAAAGACATCTCCCCCCACCCCCCCCACACACACACACAGACACAATATTGCATTCCCAGATGCTCTCCAATTATCTAGAGTAGATACTGTTATTTTAGTTATTGGGATCTGAAGTAGCGTGGGGGAGGAAGTAATTTCACCAGACAAACTTGACCTCTCTAGACCCGTTTTCTCACCAGAAAAGAAAAAAATAAAAATAAAAGATTAGCCCAGAGACTACACATCCCTCAATAACAGCAATCTCTGACCACCAATTATCAAGAATACAATTTGCGTGCAAGAAATCTGGATTCTTAAGAGTCTGTCATTAACTATTGAGAGTTTCAAATGCCTGAAAGACCCATAGGTGCACTTCAATGTGACCACTGCACATTTTCTGACCACGGAAAAGGTCTGAGAACATCTCGGCAGCGGAATCACCACACTGAGTTGGAACACGCAGAGGAATCCCCCGAATTTCCCGGGGTGGGGTGGGGATGGGGGTGCGGGGTTGAGGGCGGGGGAGTATGCATATCTGAGCAGGAGTTAGGACAATGAGCCCGGGGTTTGGGGCACAGCCTGAGTGTCTCTGAGTTTCTGGTGCCTCCTAAGGACTTTTGTCTATGTCTATGAAATCTCTCCAGCGACCACCTGCAGCTCCACACTAACGGGCAGGAGAAGAAAAGGAGATGGGAAGAAAGAGAGGGGGCAGAACCCGACAAACCTCGAGGGAAGAAGGTTCCCAAAGTCGGAGGGGTGAAAATGGACTTTGAGCACCGACAAAGCAATGGGGGTGGGAGGGAGGGAGGGGAAGACAGAGGGAGAGAGAGAGAGAACTCCGCCTGGCCCACCCCACTCGGCTCCTTTCACTAAAAAGGAAGGACGGCCGCCGCCCCTTCTGCCTTCCACCCGGGATGCGGAGCACCGGCCGAGGCCGCGCCATCCACGCCCAGCCGGGCTGGGAGCCGCGCAACCCGCGACCCGGGGCCGGAGCATCCTCCTCCTCCTCCTCCTCCTCCCCCCGCCTCCGCGCCGCGCCGCGCCGAGGGGCAGCCGGCTCCCCGGGCACCCGCACCGCCCGCCCTTCCTCTTCCTCACGCCCCCGCCTCCGGGACTCGCCGCCCCCAGCATTCTAACCCTCCACCCTCTTCCCCCATCCCTCCCCCCGACCAGGGCGCCTCCGGAAACTTTGTGTGTGAACGCGGGGCTTCTGAGCACATCCTGGGCAGGGCCCGGGCACCCGGGCGTGTGTGCCTGAGGGTATCCGGGACCTCACAAAGCACTGGGGAACCCACCCCGGAATCCCACCCCGCTTTCTTTTGGGCCCGCTTCTTACTGCACCGAGGGACCCCGGGGCTGGGCCGGGGCTCAGTGCCCACGCCGCCGCCTCTCCGCGCGGGGGACACGGGAGGAGACCCGGGCGCCCAGAGCCTCTCCCCGCTGTCACCGGGGAAAAGGCGAGCGCGGAGAGGGAGGGAGGGAGGCAGCCGAGACCCACCGCGGCTCAAAGGATCCTCTCCTGAAGGGAACACGGGGGAGAGGTCCCTTTCCCCCCACCATCCCGGGAATCTGGGCGCACCGAGGCGAGACACTGTTGCATCACGCCACAGCCGAGCCTGGGGGGCTCCGAGCCCGAGCCCGAGCCTCAGACGCGCGCCCAAATCCATGCACACACACACATATACACATACACACACACACACACACACACACACACACACACACGCACGCACGGCCACCGCAGCCGGCCTCCGAGCCCCCGCCCGGGTTCCCCTAGGCGCGCCGGCCCCCGCCCCAAAGCAGGGACCCCTCGTGCCGGAGGAGTAACGGGCCGGGGGAACCAGGTCCCCCTGCACTCACAGACGGTCTCCCCACGGCCACGGCCATCGCGGCTGCGCCCCGGCTCCGGCTCCGGCTGCGCCCGGCTGCTCCCCGCCAACACCGGCTGCTGCTCGGCTCCCGCTCGCCGCCCCCGCGCCTCCCTCGCGGCTGCGCTCCGCTCGCGCCCGGCTCCTGGCTCCCGGCTCCGGCTCCACGCGCGCCCAGCGGCGTCTGCTCGCAGCTCGCCGCCGCCCTCTGGCTTTATCCGAGCAACATGGCCCCTCGTCTGGAAGGCACCATCTGCCTCCCCAGCAAGGGGGGGAACGCCTTCCACGCGGGGGCCGGGCGACGCGAAGGAGGGTGGTGGGCGGGCCCCCGGACTCAGGCCGCCAAGGCTGGCCCTCCGGGGATGTAACCGGGAGGAGGGGGGCCCGAAGCGACCCTCGTCTGGGCCACCGACACCCCCCCAGCCGGTGGGTTGGCCGCCACCACGTGCTGGAGCCCGAGGGGAGCCGGGGCGCGGAGAGCCGGGCCCGGGTGCCGCCGAGCGCGCGGCGGAGCGGACCCTGGGCCGCGGGGGAGAGGGGCAGGGACGCGGGGGAGAGGGGCAGGGGCGCGGGGCGGGAGGGTCCGCGGGAACGGGAAGCTAGGCCGGGGCCAGCACGCGCCTCCCGGAGGAGCCGGCTCGGAAGGGGTGCGGGCCGCCGGGGAGACACATGGGCGGCCCCCCAGCAGGGAAGCGTTGCGCCTACGGAGATGCATTCTGCAGGGAGAGGCTACGGAGATGCGTTCTGCAGGGAGAGAGAGGCCACAAAGCGGGGTTCTGGAAGCGGGGTGCTGTGGCGGAGGCCTGCGGCCGGGCCGGGGACCTCGGGGAGAGGACGAGGCCGCCGCAGTGGCTGGTGTGCACGGCCCCCCGCCGCCGCCGGCTGGAGAGGAACCAGAGGACTTCCCGCTGGAGAATCCGTGCAGCTGTGCACGGCCCGGAGCGCAGGGCCGAGCTTCCCTTTGTGTCCCCCCCTCCCCACTTCTCTCCCGGTGTAACGGAGCCCGCGGGCCGCACGTGGGGGCTTAGCCGACCTTGTGTGATCGCTGGACGCGGACCCGGCGACGCGGAGGCGCGCGCGGGGGTGGCGGCGGCGGCGGCGGCGGGTGACCCGAGTCTGCGCGGCCCCGGGCGCGTGGGACCGGGGAGCTCCCCCGCCGCCGTAGGGGAGGGTTTTTCCAGCAGATGTTGGGGTACGTGACCGTGTGCCGGGCGACACTCAGCGTCCTAGTGCCTGCCCGGCGGCGCGGCGCCCACCGGGGCCAAGGCCCGTCCGCGGGGTGTGACCGAGGAGCCGCGGCTTCCCCCGCGGAGAGGGGTCCGGGTCCACAAGGTGATGGAGGGCGGCGACCGGTCTGGGAGGGAGCCGGCTGCATAGAAGAGCTGGGACTGTGCGGAGGCGGGAGGGACTAGGGTCAGCCCGCCGGACTGCGCCCGCAGGGAAGTCCACGGCCTATGGGATTGGGTCAAAGCAGACCGCCTCTTTAGACTGGTTGCCTCCGAGTCTGACCCGAGACTTGCAGGAACTTTGTTTCGTGGAGGCCTTGCGTCTGCCCCTCCTGCCATTTCGGGGGTGGGAGGGGAGGCTGGATTCGAACGCGCCGGGCAGGGGGTCCAGTTGCTGGGGGGGCTGGAGCTGGGTTGCCCCCGGAGGGATCGAAGGGCCGCAGGCCGCCCAGGCTGGATCCCACCGGCAGGACGCAGGGGGAACCCTCAGGGATGAGAGTCTGACTCTCACCGCCTCTCTGTGAACGAAAGGGGACCGCTAAGTCTGTGGGCGGGCTCAGACCTGCAGACGCGAACCTCTACCGTGTTGACCGATGTGTGCCCCCTCGTCTTCAAACCTTTGGAGGCATGGCCCACCATTTTGTGTGAAGCACACAGTAAGTGCTCGGTAAGTGTCGAGTGAAGATGACCACGCGGATGGCGGCAATGCGAAGGGAGGAGGAAGAGGAGGGCCTCCCTCTGCTGCTCTCTGTACGTCGGCGTTTTGTTCCTTCTCTCGTAGACAGCCTCACTGCCCGTGGACCTGAGGTCTCAGGCAAACCCTATGAAAAGACTGCTCCAGCCCTAACCCGTTTGGCTCAGTGGACAGAGCGCAGGCTTGCGGACTCAAGAGTTCCCAGGTTCGATTCTGGTCAAGGGCATGTACCTTGGTTGCAGTCATGTACCCAGTAGGGGGTGTGCAGGAGGCAGCTGATCGATGTTTCTAACTCTCTAACTCTATCTCTCTACCTTCCTCTCTGTAAAAAATCAATAAAATATGTTTAAAAAAAGACTGCTCCACAGGCTGTAATGGTCATTGCGAACCAACTGGCTATTCTTTGTTATGTTGCCCAGGCCAGACTTAATCAAATTGTTTTATTTTTATTTACTTTGTAAATGCTCGTGTTGAAAACAGCTGGCTATATGTTTAGATAAGAGTATGAACTCCCTACCTTTCTGGGCAGGTTAGTTTATTCTTATCAGAAAAGCTTAAAGTCACTATTCCATGATCTCAACTGTTTGAAGAAACTTTTAGGACAAAATTATTAGTTTACCCAGTTTCTGCCTGATTTTTTTCACTAAGTAGGAGCAATGCCTTAAATTTCCACCTAAATGACTTTTGGGTAGTTAGGCATAAATGTATTTAATAAAAATATTGAATTACTGTTGGCCAAGAAAGTCTACTTCAGAATGTCAGTTTTCACTCTGGGAGTTATTTAAACATCATTCTACAGCCATCCTACCCAGGTTTAAAACTTCATAGCTATGTGAACTTGAGCAAATTGCTTAACCTTTCAGTGCTTCAATTTCCTCGTCTTTAAAATCTATTTAATGATAGTTCCTCCTTATTAGGGTTGCTAAGGGGTTAAATTACCTTATTAACCCTGTGCTCAGCTCTGTGCTAAGAACTAAACATTTTAAAATGAGGATGCCTCTTCGACTGTTAATCAGTGCAGTCTGCTGAGAGATCTTTAAACAACGCTGATAAATAATCCAACTCTTAGAAATGATCCATGAATTAAGGGAGTTTAAAGCAGAGTACAAGGAGCAAGTCACTCTCCTGTCAAGCAGTGGGAATGCACATGGATATTCTTTAAATTGATGTCAGCTGAGTCTGAGGTGACTGGCATGGCCGTTTCCCGGAAAAGGCCTTCCCCCAACTGGCTGGAGACTTATCAGTACTGATTTATCTTTATCCATGTGCTGGGAATGAGGGATTGAATAGGACTTTGGCCCACCCAGGCCTTGATATGTTAAATCCAGGCCTAATACTGGGAATGAGGGAATGAATAGGACCTGGGCACACCCAAAACTCCTTTGACCCTAAGCTTTCCAGGGAAACCCCCCTTTATTCTTTTGGAAATAAATAAATGGCTCAGGTGTTGCCTGTCTCTCCAGCAAAAAGGGCAGCGACCCACCCGGGACCCAGCTTTGAATCTATTTCTGTGTCGGCTCTCCTTATTTCATATATTACTCAATCCCCGGCCACCTCTTCCAAGAACCTGTTTCATCTCTCTTCCGGAGCTGGACGCGGAGAAGGGAGGTCCCCGCCAACTCAGGCCCCCACAAACAGGAAAGGCTTCACCAAGGAAAGCAGAACAGGGAGGAGAGCAAGGGGGACATTCCAAACAAGGGAATAGATGGAGGTCCCGGAATCCTGGTGATGGTGCTGTCCCAAGAACAGGTGTCCTGGCATTGCTGGCGTAGGATCCTTAGAGGGAACGTGGCACATTGGGGAAAACAGAGCCCTGAGACTTCAGTTTATTACTTATTAGCTATGTGACACTGGGCGAGATATCCTCTCTTCATCTCATCTCTTTTATAAAAAAATACATTTTATTGATTTTTTACAGAGAGGAAGGGAGTGGGATAGAGAGTTAGAAACATCAATGAGAGAGAATCATCGATCAGCTGCCGCCTGCACCCCCCCCCCCCCCCACTGGGGATGTGCCCGCAACCAAGGTACTTGCCCTTGACTGGGGCCCTGTAGTCTTCAGGCCGACACTCTATCCCACATGTGTCAAACACAAGGCCCGAGGGCCAAATCCGTCCCGCCAGGCCTTGCAATGTGGCCCGCACCGCGCTGTCATCACTGCACTCCGCTGCGTTTCCATCACAATGACAGTTTATGACTGTTCAGTAAACCATTCATCCCTCGATTTAGGCTGGATTTTAGATTTTGGCCCCTTCTCTGATTGAGTTCGACACCCCTACTATCCACTGAGCCAAACCAGTCGGGGCTTATCTTTTTCTGTTGTGAAATAGAGCACTAGCAGTGAGTCCTGATGGGGCACACGTTTGCCAGATCCACTCTTCGCCTTCCATTCTGCCCCCAGAAGCTGGAGCTCAAAGGGCTTTTATTCCCTTTTCACCCATTTGAGTTCAGGCAGTGGTGGGCAGCCACAGAACCACAAGGAAAGGAGTGTTGGAACTTATTTCCCAGGCTCTTTTGCTATGGCACCATTGCAGGCTGGCTGCATTCCTCAACCAAAGGCCAGTTACTTCCCTGGGATAATCCAGGGTAAACTCCTTGTGGTTTTGCTACATTTATCCCACAGACTTGCAAATAGTCGTTTGATTAAACTCTACTCAAATTACCCATTGAGAATGTACCATCTCATTTCTGCTAGGATCTTAACAGACTAAGTCCTTCACAGAATTGTTTTGCTCAGAGTTAACTGAGAAAACAGGTATACTATAATTAGAGTGACCTAGAATTTATTGTTCAAATTTAGAAACTTTTGAGATTGAAAGAAGATGGTTAGCTTATTAAGATAATAGGCAAAGACCAGGACTTATGGTCACCATAGCTATTATTACAAGACAAGTTAGGCAATTGAGAGGTGATCATACTTACATACATCTTTACTAGGCTCTGAGTGCCTCAAAGCAAGATAATTTATTTGTATTTCAGCTTACAGCACAAAGTCTGGTATCCTCTATAATAAAGAGGTAATATGCAAATTGACCATCACACCCTCACAAATGGCTGCCTATGACCAGGCCCGCAGGGGGGTTAGTGAGGGACAACCAAATGACTGCACAGCAGGCTGCGTCGGCAGGGGGGAGAAGGGGGAGTTGGGGGCAATTAGGCTGGCAGGGGGGGAAGTGAGTGGCAACTAGGCCAGTGGGGATGAGGGGTGGGGAGCAGTTGGGGGCAACTAGGCCAGTGGGGAAGGGGGGGCAGTTAGGGATGACC